TCTCTCTCTCTCTCTCTCTCTCTCTCTCTCTCTCTCTCTCTCTCTCTCTCTCTCTCTCTCTCTCTCTCTCTCTCTCTCTCTCTCTCTCTCCAGCTTGTATACACGCATCACGGTTGCTTTTTTTTCTTTTTTTTTCCCGCATCTGCGATCAGCGCACCGAGCACCGCACTGTGCAGCGCACCTCACGTAGCCGCAAGTATGTACCTAACCCATAAGAGCGTAGAGCTCTGTTGTGTCTGGGTGGCCTCCCGAGCTGAAGTTAAGTCTGCGTTGTGCCAGTCCATCCACCTTAAGTTGAGGCTTTCCATCCGTGCTACTCTGCCCCCCCACCAACCATACCCACTCGAACTTACCAGCACCAATTGTTCTGTATCTGGATTGCTTTGCACCCAGATTTTGACCTTCTTCCAGTGGCTCAGAATCTCAGCTTCAATCATGCCTTCGCTTGCCGCCCAGCCCTTCTCACGTGGGTTCCTGGTGTCTTCCAGAGTTGTGCTGTCTTTCCATATGGCCCACAGCATGACCTTGCATATCATTCCAAACATGGTCTTTTCAGGTTTACCGAAGTTGTCTGGTAAGTTAGCCCTAGCTGCTAACTCAGCAGCCTTGGCAGCAGCCTGTCTCCTGGTGGCACCTTCCTTTCTAAGTCTAGCTTCGGTCTGGGCTTCTAATGCTTAAAAAGCATAAGGTAGACTCTGAGCAACTTTCCTAATCACACCCCTGCAATTATCCTCTTCCTCACTGTCCCTACCACTCATAACTTCACAAGAACAGCCTGTTCTCTGTCCTTCTGTAGTACAGAAATTGACCGGTGAATAAACCAACAAAATAATTCCAGGCTGAAATGCAACGACTCTACCAGCAGTGGTACAAACACATTCAGACCCTTGCTATTTACTACTAGTATTTAGTATTTAATTAGTTCTTATGAAAGACAATGCAGCTACCACCCGGACTAAGTAGGTTTCCAATGTGGCTGCACACTGCCCATTAAGACCAGCAGTCTGTCCAGCAACTAATCAAACAGAAAATGTAAGCTGCTACCAAAACGAATACATCACATGCAGCCCAAGCGGGCTAGCTCAGTTGGTTGAGCATGTAAGTGGCACTCAGGAGGTCGTGGTTCGATACCCAACGATGTCCTTCCGACGCCCACGGCCTCCTGGGGGATGCTTCGGGTTCACCAGCGGAGATTGTTGGTTTGGGCCTTCTGGCTGGTTGCCTTTCCAGCCCGCGCCAGGTGTTAGGAGCAGTGGGTTTGCTTACTGCACAGAGATGAGATAGATAGAAAAGAGAGAAGAAGTCTTTCGGGATATCCGTTAAAATTGGAACGATACAGAGAAGATTAGCATGGCCCCTGCGCAAGGATGACACGCATAAATCGAGAAATGGTCGAAGTTGCAAAAAAAGAAAAGAAAAGAAAAAAAAAAAAAAAAAAAGAGAGAAGAAAATAGGCTACGAAAAAAATAAAACTGTCCCCAGGGTTGCATGCCTGCCGACCGCTGACCCCGACCGCCGACCAGTAGGGCCGACCGGTTGGCGGTCTACCGACCAGTCAGAAAACAACCATCCACTGTTTTTTTTCAAATCTGAGTTGGGGGCTGTACTGCGCTTGCTGAGTACAGCCCAAATCCGCTGAGAAACTTTTRGGGATGGGGAGGGGTATGGGGGGGTTGGGGTTGGAGTATAGGGGGGGTGTAGGGGGGAATAGGGGTGGTGTAGGGGGTATTGGGGGGGGTAATGAGGGTGTTGGGGGCGGTTTGGGGGKGTTGGGGGGGKGTATGGGGGTATTGGGGGCCGCTATGGGGGTGTTGGTGGTGTTATTAGGGGTTCTCGACTTTCCCCCGCCCCCCCCAAAAAAAAAAACTAATAAAATTGCGAGGTGTCGACAACCCCCAACCGGTAGGTGCAGACCAGCCAACCGGTCGGCGGGTCG